TCCCCATTCCATTGTCGTCAGGAACTTCCATGACATGATGCCACCTCGCATTGTACACAGACTCGTACACTCCCTCCAGTTTTATCGACACAACCGTCGACGTTGGGTTCCTCGCCTCCTCGGCGGCTGCATCCAAAAAACTTTTAGTGATCTCATGAACACTTTCTTTTATCTGCTCAGCAGCTTCGGACCATTTTTGTAAATTGGACACACCAGCCTGTTTAAGCCTGCGTACATCTTCCTCCTTATCCTTTTCATCCCTTACAGCCCCCTCAATCCTCAAATAAGCATCGGTTATCTGCATTTCGTTCAATACTCCCGCATCATGGATATACCTCGCCGGTTCCTTTACAAACTCCTCCAGCACGACATTATCCTTTGTGTCCACAACGCCCCTGCCGCCAAATCTCACCAGAAGAAAATCGTTCAGCTTCCTTTCCTTGACGCGGACTCCTCCTTTAAACAGTACCTCTTCGATCGTAGTGGAAATGGTATATTTCATTTCTTGCAGTCGTCTTTGCATTTCTTCTTCCTCACGCCTTAGCCTTTCCTCTGCCTCACGCTTCTCTTCTCTCTGTACCTGAGTGAGGGCTGCGTTTATTTTTGCCTTTGGAAAAGGAGTGACTGTGTCCTTTCCTTCATAGTCCCTCCATTGTTCAAGCGAGACAACACCCTCGTGACGAAGCTTATTAATAGCCTTCAATAGTATTTTCCTATTATCCAGCTCTATTTCCAGCAATTGGTACGCAGTTAAGTTAACAATTCTTCTAAGAAACTGCTGGTCTTGTACGTAAGCATCCGGCTCCTGAACAAACGCCTCCATCGTCACGTTCCCATTTCTTTCCACAACCCACTCCTCACCCAAGTTGCTCCGAAGGAAATCGTTCAGCTTCATGTCGGTCCTGTTAGTGCTTCCCTCCAGCAGAATATCCTCCACTCTGCTGCTCATGGTCCACTGCGGTCGATGCATTCCCTCCAATCTTCTGCGAGTCGTAGAGGAGTGATCTGTGTCACCCTCAAAGTCCGACCTCCCTCTCCTCCGATCTCCCTGCGAGACATTGGACAATTGACTCTCCACATTGCCGTAAAGTCCTTCCTCGGGCCTTCCAGACATCGTTTCTCCTTGCTTTCTTAGTTGGATTGAGTTAGATCTAAATAGCCACCAAACAAAAAAGGGGAATGATAAAAAGGAATACAATAGGCACAGGCATGACTGACAGCCACAACAAGAGACTCACCCACACAGTGTGACGGCACAGTATTCGATGCACACCACATGCACGAGGACCACCACAACGACGGCGAGTGGATGTCATCCACCCAGCACAGTGTTGGAGAGAGCAAACAACAACAAAGTGGTGTGCACGGAGGGTTCGTCCACGCATCCCGCTCGCCACGGTCCCGCACCCGTGTGACACCGCCGTCGCCGCACACACTCGGCAGGAGGACGTGGGCACATAAACCCTGACACGCACACAAAATAAAAAGCAAATTCGGTAAAGCAGCGGCCACACGCAGGGAGCACAAATCATACACACCACAAAGGCGATGCATCACGGTAATCCCACACACAACAGAAAACAGTACAATTTACAAGCTTTATTAAAAATATCTGCGGTGTGCATGGCAAAAGAGTGCCGTGACGCTGCCTTTCATATTGCATTCGCCATTCACGTATCACTTGGAAGCACGCAGCCACCACTCCTCCGTTTCGCTCCCCGTGCTGCTCGTGTCGCTTCACTGGAGTAGGTTGTCACCGCACATCCCCATCACCGTGCATTGCGGAACGCAAATCAACCACACCGCATGGGTGCGGTGCCACCCCGCCAATAAATCCCAGGAAATACCCCACTGCCTCGTGTGGCACGGACGGCAGTCTCATTATGCCTGCGGAAGGCTTTTTTTCCAAACAAGAACGCGGCCCCACCACACGCCCGTAAGAACGTTTGGTCCGTCACACGCAAAGGAGTGGAGCGGGAGAACAGCAGGAAAGGCAACACCGGCAGCCATGAGCAGCCCGCACACGCCAACACACCGCTGCCCCGCATATCACCAAAAACAAAAATACCAAAGAAACATGTCACATCCCAACTGCAAATCGCAAGTGCGGTTGCAGCACACACTCCCACCTCCTGGGCGTGTGCGGCCCCTCGCTGCTCGGCGCTCCAAGTGGGATCACCAAAAGCACCAATTCGAGAACATTCGACCACCGCCACAGCAGTCACGCTCCCCATTTCTCACAAAGGCGAAGACTTGCAGTGGCGCAGCGGACGGCGGCATGCACAGTCGCAGGGTAATGAACTGCCGCGGGAAGCACGCAACGGCGATGCGCCCCTCCTTTGGGCCTCCCAAAAAAAAACATGTGTCGCGCAGTCCCCGTGAGCAACACACATTGAACCGTATTCAGCTCCACTACTGTGGCCATCCGCATTCACAGCAAGAGTGCGACAACGCAGGCCAGGAAGCACGGAATAATGCCACGCACCCCTCCAATAAAGGTCAGGCGGCGACCGTGCTGCCTTCAACAATAATTCCACCCCACATCACCCCTCTGCATATCCGCAGCAAAAAGGCCCACACGGTGTACACTACATTAGAATTTCCTAAAGCGCAAAACCTGATCATCAGAGTGCTGCCGTCTTCTCAATGTTGGGTAGAGGCTCTCTGATCCTTGTCGCCACCAGCCTGCGGCATCATGGAGGGGCATTGCGTTCTCGGCATATCTCTCCATTTACTTCACTTTCCCGACGCCGCAAATGAAGTGACGCCCCACAAGTGATTTCGACCGTTCTGAAGAACGTGACGTATCAGACGCGATGAAACTGTGTGTGTGTGTTATTACGGGCGAGCGATGCGATGCTCTCGCACATCCATGTATTCCGATCCTGCGCAACACCCCATTCGGTGGTGCTGAAAACGTTGGACACCAAACACGCACAAATCTCACAATGAATGCCTCTGGAAAAAAAAAAAAAACAAATAACGTCAACACAGACACAGTGACCGAACAAAGTAACAAAAGAAAACCAACGTCTGCGCGCCCTCCCGCAAGAAGATGAAGACACACACGCTTGTCCCCTTTAGTTTCACTCCGACTGCTCGGAATTGATGAGTCTATAGCAGGAGGAATCACGCCACTCTTCCCTCGCTCCCTGTCACGAGGCATGGACGCTGCAAGAGGCTGCCAAGATGAGCCACACGTGTGTGGAGGGCCCCAATGCTCGGGGCAGGTCGACAACCACCAACACTCACCCCCACACACAAAAGGGCAAAGGCAAGGACATGGAGAAGAGAATCCCGCCGCACAGTGCATTCAAGAGGGCACACGCAGAAGCACCGCCATCCACATCGTACCGCAAAACAGCAATGCGAACAGCACACACACGGCCGCTACAAGAGGAACGAGGCGCATCCAATTCCACCACAGTCCTTTACTTACCCCTGCCCCGAAGGAATAGCGTTACGCCTCACAGCAGGTCGTGGCGGTGGCGTCCCACACTCACAGTGAGGCACGGCGCACACCATCCGCTCCCCTCCGAACGCACTCATCAGGGCGCCCAGTCACCCTCGTACCATCGCAATGGGGGAACACAAACAATCGTCGTCGCGGACTATCGATGCCTCTAGCAGAAAAGAAAAAGTGATGAGGGAGTGTCAACTGCACAGCTAGCAGCGGGACACCCAATGGGACACAAAGACACATAGTGGCATTCAACACAGCAAATAATAAAACAAGCCGCAGCGAATTGCCAAATACAGAAAAACAAGAAAAAAGGTGTAGGTTCAGCAGAAATAAATAAATAATTAATTAATTATAATAAAGAAAAAAAAAAAATCGCCTCAGTGGACTTTCATTTCATGTATCCCTCAGCGCAGCAGGAATTGTGCATCTCCATATGTTTCTTACAGAGAGAAAAAAAAAGATCGCAGTGTTCCACGTGTCCACACGAAATCCCTCACATTTCATGAGGCACTCGGTCTCTTCCTCCACCCCTCGTTTTTTACAGTCCGCGGGACTGCACAGCAATGAGGCCGGCACCGCGTGCGGTGCAACAAAAGCAAATAAAACAGGGGGAAACACGTCACTCATGAGGGTGTGCAGCTAGCGGCAAACGAAAAATAAATTAAAAAAATAGTAAAAAGGCAGGGGTTCTGATCCCTCCAACAAAGCACCAGCAGCACATTATATCCAGAGGTGAAAACAAAAGGGATTTAAAAAAATCCTCAACGGAGTGCATTGAGTCTTCCTGAGGAGCTGCACACCCTTTTCCACGGAGAGCCGCGGCTCCACTCCCACCGTCTCACACAGCTAAGAGCTGCAATGCCCACAGCCCCAGAAAGAGGAGCAACAAGATCCGAGGCACACACACACACACGCACCGTGCCGTAGCCACTAGAGCCCTTCTCCAAAAAAGTGTTGTTCGTGAGCTGAGAGGCGTTTCCATCTTTGGAGCCACTGCCAGTTCCCGCTGGATCATCCGGCCCTTCAAGCACTTTCCCAGAAAGAGACTCTGGAAGAGCAAGGTTGCTGACACCAACTTTTGCGGCTTCTTCCCTGGTCAATATGCGGTTGTACAAAAAAACACTCGTCACTGTCACATACTTGTTTTGGATCCCTGTGTCGCTTGCACTGCTTCCATCCCCTCCGATGTAAAAGTGTGAATTCGCGCGTGGCCCCTTTCCCGATGATGATGTCGTTTCAACATCCCACACTCACCCACCATTGATCTATACGAAGGCCTTGTTGCCGGTCCTGCAGCGTGAGCTCCACTCGTTATTGTTTGTTCAACTCCCAAAAGCCGGTGTGTTTGTTTGCGTTGAACATCACCCCCCTACTCCTTTCATGGCTGTGCGACAGCCAAAAGTGCACAGTGCGGCCTGCTCCCTTCGCGCCAATCAAAGGGATACTCTTGACGCCTGCGTGTCTCGCAAATAGCCACCGTCGCCACAAGAGCGAAGTCGTAATTCACAAAGCCACAGTGATTATTATCCTCCCAACGGTTCACGGGGCAATGTTGCCCGTGAATTGAAGCCCATTTGTGACATTCTTGCCGTTCGTCACCGTTGCAATCACGTAACTGCACTCGTCGATACGCGTGTTGGCAGTGCCTGCGTTAGACAGATATCCAACCAGACACACCGTACTTACGGGCGACGCGGAGAAGGAAGCGTCCACATCCGCCCAATTACGGAGGATGGAAGTGATCATCTGCAGCTCCTCCGTCAGGGGGACAGGAAACAGGCTGCTTTTCACTTCATTGTGCCTCGCTCCCACAAGGTACAACGCACCATCCGAGTACAGCAGGACGTTGGCAATCGGCTTATTCACAGCAGCGTCCATAGAAGCCGGTCCAACACAAAACACGCGGTTGCTGTCAGTCACCCAAACGTAGAGCACATGGGCCTCACTCTCCCACCACGGGGAGCCCACTTTCCGAGCCTACAGCACGACGATCTTTCCTCCAACGGTCGCAGTGACAAAGGCTCCTACACGCAAGCTCATGCCCCAACGACCCGATTGTGAATTGGCCCAAACGCCTGCAATTGCCTCGGGTAATTCCACCCACATTGTCCCCTTGTCACGTGACTCGTGCACTCTGCAGTACCGGCTCCCATAGCAATGAGTAATCACGAGGAGTTGTCCCTGCTCCCACTCGGCAATGAGAAGGTCAATGCAGTCCACAGGAAGAATGCCCTTTGAAAGCACTCAGCTGCTGCCGCCGTCCGTCGAACAGATGATCATGGAGAAATCGTCTTTTTCTTCATTATACGCAACCACGGGGACACAAGCGTGCCATTCAAAACACCTGAGCCGCCAAAAACCTTCAATCCATTCGCGCCGCGTTCGTGAGTCTCGGGAATGATCTGTGATCACAGCAATTTGGGTTCACACCAGTGGATCAGCTCGCTCCGTCTGCCGTCATTGGGCTGCGTGAATTCACCCACAACCAGTTGAACATCACGGTCTCTCAACGCCCAATTGAACCCACCATTCGTACCAAACTTTTGCTAGCTTCCCGCACGAAGAAAAGCCCCATTGCCGCTCTCAATTGTCGTGGGATTGGACGCGGAGCCTACACCACCCTTTATATACGCTGTGCTCAACACGATGTG